ACACCCAGAAGCCAAAGTCAGAGGTGGTCTTCATAAAGGTTGCCTAAAACACTGTAACTTGATATAACCAGTACTATCCATTTGGTGCGACCTTCATTCAACCGGCTGAAATTCTTTAAGGTGTATCAAAGTTATTAAGGCTTCATTCCAAGTTTCTGGTATTTTACCGTTAGTTCTTATGGTCTGTATTACATATTTTAAAGGTAGTGTCACTTGATCTTCAAATACATGATAGAATTCTGCTGGTAATCCATCAGGGCCTGGTGTTTTCCCATTTTTTGGTTTTTTTATTGTTTCTGTAATTTTACACATGGTTACATGGTCATTTAAGATTTTCCTTTGCTCTTCAGTAATTTTTTTGTTATATTTCTGCAAAAAATCTTTAATCTCCTCTGTTGTAGCTTCTCCTCTTTGGTATAGCTTTCTATAAAATATCTCAATGATTTTTAAAAAAATCTTTGGTTAAGTTTTTTTCTTCTCCTTCACTGTCCTTTAAAATCTTTATACTTGTATTTTCTTTTTCTTTTCGTAGTTAATAAGCTAATCATCTGGTTGGTTTATTAGCCTTTTCGAAATAGTTTTGTTTTGCATGAGTAATCTTTTTAGCTATTTCTTCTGTCAACATGCCATTCATCGGATGTTGTAATAAGCTTTAATTTCACTCTTAGATATTCAGCTGATGGGTCTTGTTCCAAATTTTCTTCCTGCATCTTAATATGCTCCTTGATTTGTGAGAACTTTTTCATATTTTTTTTTTTTTGTGCGCACTGATTCTCTGATTATCCAACCTCTGGCATAAGCCTTAAATGCATCCCATACGGTTAGAATGTAAATATCTGGTTGGATGTTCTGCTCAAAAAACATTTGAAATTCTTTTTTTTTGTCTCTTACAATTTTTGAATTTTTCAATAAAATTTATTAAAAGTCCATCTATTTTTCTTTGGTGTATCTTGCAATGTAATCATAAAAGGATTATGGTCTGCAAAAGTTGCTGGTAGTATTTCTACTTCTACTAGATCATTTAGGATTGTAGCTGAAATCCAACACATATTGTTTATTTATTTATTATTATTTTATATCTATTCTTGACCATGACTTATTGTCTTGCTGAATGAAAGGTATAGTCTTTTTCTTTTTTGGGTTTCTTTTTTTCCAAGAATCAATCAGATTATGCTCTTCTGCAAGTTGTAAAAAATGTATTCTGTCTAAAAGCTTATCAAAAACAGCATTCGATCAGGCAAATTTCATCATAATTTTGTTTTAAAATGAGTTCTTGTAGCATTTTGTACATTTTTTCTTGGTGTTGGTTTGGTACATATATCTTTATAATTAAAGTTATTTTGCCTTGTCTTTGTATTTGGACTATCAAAATTTTGCCATCTTCAGAACTGTAGATTAATTCTGGCTGCAAGTGTTCTTTAACATATTTTTAGTCTGAGTGTTTTATATGGGTCTTTTGTAGCCATATCACATCCAATTGCATCTTTTTGAACTGTTGGAAAACCTGTCTTCTTTTTTGGGGTGCATTCAATCCATTAACATTTATTGAGATTATCTTTATTATTCTTCTATCCATCTTTGATTTGTGTTTTGTCGTTCTCTTTGTTCTTCAGTTTAAGTCTTGTAACCATCTGGGATACTGTATCCTTTCCAGTTTTCCTTGTCTTTATAGTTTTTCCAGTTCCCCCTTGTGCTTCTTGTTGGTCCTCTTCTGTGAGTTTTCTGTTTCTTCCTCAGTTTCCAAATCTTCACCATGTGTTCTTAAAAAGTCTTCCACTTTAAAAGTTACCTTGACTCCGGTAATCTGTGCTTGCTCCTGAAGCTTGGGACCCAGACCCCTGTATCCTGCACCTGTTCCCAAGCCTTGGACCCCTGGACCCTCCCACCCTGACCCTTGGACGGGACCTTTGGATCTCTGACTCTGGACCCGTTTGCAGACCTTCCTCATGTGTCTGTCTATACTTGTTGTCATTGTGCTTGTGCATCCTGGAAACCTCAGGTACAGCAACAGCACCAGGCTTAGTCCTGATCGTGACAGACTGCAAAGGCCCTCGTATGCCCAAAGGGGTGGCCATGATCCTGCTTCAAAGAAAGTAGCCTCTACTCCTTCCTTTGCACATTCCCAATTTTGGAACTGGACGGAGTTTGTCGGAGGTGCCGCTCCAGTCACCAAGACAAGACAGCACTATCTACTGAAAAGAAGATGTAAATCCATTTAAACAAGAATATGAGCAAATAAACAGCATTCGTTTTTTTAAATAACTGACATTCCAAATAGTGCTATGAGAACTGTATTTGCATCAACAGTCTTGGAAGTCTGTTGCATAACACTGACAAAACACTGCACACTAGAGTTTAAGTGATGCTGAAGGAATCGTAACTTCTAAATTAAAAAAAATAAATAAAAGAGAAACACAACAGGCTGTACCTAGAAATGGATCTTCCCTTCCTTTTCCCTTCCCCCATCTGTTCATTTTAACCTCCAAAAAACTGATGTGGTTGGCCACAGGGTCTGCACAGACAAAAAGCCATGTTGGAAGGGGGGCTGGAGAGTGAAATGGGGCACGGCTGCCCCTCCTCCCTTCTCTCCTTATGGAGCTTCTAAGGCTTCACTAGCAGAAGGAGGAAGGCTGTTTCCCCCAGATTCCCCCTCCTCACTGCAGCCCCCTGACATGCGTAGCTTTTTCTGCACATGAGTCCTGCAGCTTCCAGCACCAGCTTTTTTTGTGGAGTAGAAGTAGCTACTGAATGAACAGGGATGTGGGGAAGACTGACAGCTGCCACTTTGTAGGATACCATGCATTCCATTGCTTCATGGTCCACAAAGTCCATTAAGCCTCTAAACTGAAATACCATATTAACATAATCTGTATCATCATCAGCAAGACTACAAAGGACTATCTAAAAGACTGTCTAATTCCAGGCTTTCTAAAATTGACATTTAAATTCTAAAACAGTTTATGTTCCTATATAACAGTTAAGTGGGAAGAGACAATTATCAGCGATAAGTTTCTGCAAAGCCAACCTATATCCTTTGGAATGGCTCAGATGCTACACTGGTATCTTACTTTTTGATTTTTTAATCATTATCCTTAAGCAAAAAATCCCTTTTGTTTACCAATAGCCCTGAACAGGGTATTCATGAATGAATGTGCAAATGATCAAACATGTTAACTGTTAGCTTCTCCAAATGTCACCTACACCTAGAGTTGTCAACCTTCAGGTAGCACCCGGAGGTCTTCTGCCATCACAACTGATTCCCAGACGACCAAGGCCAGTCCCCGTGGAGAATATGGCTGCCTGGGAGGGTGGACTGAGCTCCGTCCCCTCCCCAAACCCCGGGCTCCATCACCAAATCTCCAGGTATTTCCCAGGTCAGAGCTGGCAGCCCTAACCCTACAGCTGGGGAGACCTGAGCTCCCCAACCGGCCCTGAAGCTTGCAGGGTGACCTTAGTCCAGGCCACGTGTTCTCTCAGGGCTGTGGCCAAGTTAAAACGGGAAGAGAAGAATCACGTGGGCCACACTCAGTTCCTTGGAGGAGGGCAGAATAAAACTCTGTTAGGCAGATGGACAAATTCCCGCCACTAGCCTGGCACGTGAGAAGATGATAATGTGTGCACAACGCCACATTCTCATGCTTGGTTTTCAGTTCCCCCCCCCCCTGCAAGTGATTCAGATCAATGGCGCACATTCAGAGCACATTCAGAGCTCCCTGCATGAGACTTGGGGCTTCTCTGCATTCTCACTTGTGTGTTCCTATTGGGGGAGGGTCTGTTCCACATGTGTTTTGCTCCCCCTAGTGGTCAATTTGATAATTACATCACTTTATATCCAGCATAAAAAAATCCAGCAGTTTAAATCTGCAGGGAGATACACAACTGTGTAATATCGAATTGACCACTAGAGGGAGCCAAACACAAGTGGAACAGACACCCCCCCCCCCAGCAACAGAAACACACAAAGGAGGGAAAATGAGAACAAAGAAAAGAGCCCTGGCAGCAGCAGGTGGTTCTCAACCTTCCTAATGCCGCGACCCTTTAATACAGTTCCTCATGTTGTGGTTGCTGCTTCATAACTGTAATGTTGCTACTGTTACGAATCGTAATGTAAATATCTGATATGCAGGATGTATTTTCATTGTTACAAATTGAACTAATAATTAAATCATAGTGATTAATCACAAAAACAATATGTAATTAGATATTGTGAAATATTTATTTCTAATTACAGGCGACCCCTGTGAAAGGGTCTCTCGACCCCCAAACGGGCCGCGACCCACAGGTTGAGAACCGCTGCCTTGCAGACACAGTCCACAGTCCAGAAGCCTATCAGTGGTGCTCGGCTTGATATATCCTTCACGGAAAGCCAAATACAGAGGAAGGGGCCTCATACAGACATGCAAAACAGGCACCTGATACTGTGGGACGACATGGACACGGCCAGCGGAGGCCCTCCTCTCAAGCCCTGAGGCGGCCTGGGGCACGGCTTTGGCACCTGGCTTCCAGACGGCCTTTCCCCCTGCGCCTCCCCTGGCACCTGCTCTCTCTCTTCCAGGTGCAAGGCCAGAACATTTCCATTCACCCACTCTTTTAACTCTGGAGTCGATCTTTTAGCACTATTTTTAGTCTGGGAACTGTTATTTTAAGGTCTATGTTTTTACGCTGGGCTTGGTTTTTAATGCAGGATTTTAATTCATGCCTTCTCTTGTTTTGTTTTTCTTATTTTGTAAAGCTGGCAGGTTCCTGGAGAGGCAGCACAAACATTTTCTAAATAAATAAATATATAATCCCCCAAAGGTCAAAAAACTCTATTGTTCAAAAGGCTCTCTGTAAACCAAGGCACAGCAGTTGAGTTAAGCAGGGTCAAATCCCACCCTGGTGCCAAAGGGGGCCAGAGCGGCAGGATCAACGGCTGCCGCTCACTCATTCCGAGGCACCCATGATGGGCACCCACAGTTTTTTCTAACCAGACAAGGCCCCACAACTTGCTGCAGTCTTACCTGTCTTGCCCAGTGGATGCCAAGCATGGTCCAGCCTTCCCACTGCAGACCGGCTTGCGTGAGGCGCCTGTAGGCTGGCCTGATACAGAGACTCCAGCTCAGACGTCTCCTGCTCTGTGTCCTGATCCCACTGAGGATGCTTCTGTCTGGGGTCCTCCTCCTCGGAGGCAGGCGGCACCTTCCCAGACACCCCCTGGCAGTCCTGGTGAGAGCTGTAGTGCCTTCTGACATTGTCCACCCAGCAGTCCACCGGCACAGGTGCAGCGAACCCAGCAGGGCTTCTCTCCCTCGCCTGTCTCACGTCTCCCTCGTGGCTGAGCCTTCCCGGGTGGAGATCAGCCTCCACAGCACACGGGGGCTCCCCTCGGCGGCACTGCTCTCCACGGCGCAAGCCAGAACTCTGAGTGGTTCGATTGTGGACAGGAAAGCAGTCCACAGAGCCGAGCTCATCCCGAGAATCAAGGCACACGTCCAAGTTTTTAGCGGGCCAGGTTCCATTCCCGAGGCTTCCAGTGGCTGGCTGCCTAGATCCCCAGGATGGAAGGTTGCTGAAGGATTCCTGCACTGACTCTGGGGCCCTCTGATCACGACAGAAAGCCGCTGCCCCTTCTTTCTGACGAGCACTTTCCCTTTCCTGCAAGTGCTGAAACTGTCCTGCCAGGGAACGGACGTGCCCCTTAGCAGGGATCCTCTCGGGATTCCCAGAGTCCCCGTTCACTAACCCTTCTGGTAAACGATGCAAACTCTCGTGGCTTTTCGCTCTGAGGTACCTACTTGCAATCTGCAATGGATCTGCAGGGTAATGAGGCCAAGGGGAGGGAGGAGCTCGGGTGAGGGCAGGACAGGCCCCTTCTGGAAGGGCAGGGGCCCCCTCCGGGAAGCTTGAGGCCTGAAGGCAGGGGTGGCGTCGGTCTTTTTGGTCCGGTGGCGCCTGCACTGGGTGCGAAGAAGGGAAGAGCACCGGCAAAGATCCAGAGTTTACCACGTTAAATTTTGTTTTGCAAAGAGGAGTGAGAGATGCTGTTACGTCACGAGCTTCTTCGAACCTACTGCTGCTACTGCAGTCTTTATTGCTTATTAGATTATTGGTGGAGACTCCCTCCGGCTTCACATCACGGTGGACTTCATTCTCAGTTTGTCTGGATCTGTCACTGACCCCACGTTGATCGGGAAATGGGGTGACCCGCTCGCCGCAACCAGCAGAAGCAGCCTGGTGATTCAGGGAGGCCGCGGGCGAGGGGCTCCTCTCCGGAGAGGGTGGGGGGGAAGACTTTGGATAGGATGACTGCGGTTCACGATGGGAAGCTGGTGGATGGGAGTAAGAACTGGACCCACGCTCTGCTTCTCTGCCGGGTTCCAGTAGCATCTTCTGGCTCAGCAGTACTTGGAGCGGGCCAGCCTGTTCACTGGAACACACATAAAACCACAGTCAATTACTGGGCAATTCCGAAGGGGAAGAAAAGGCAGCACAATCTGAAACCCAATCCACTCCACCCACCCTAGTTCCACTTTAGCAAAGCCATCCTTTGCTCGTTTTGTTTTTTGAATTAGGGGGAGAGGAGCTCCCACTTTTCTAGACCTGAGTACAACTGGAGGCCGTTCTCAGCAGTCCCTGGGAAGGACCACACTCCCTCCGCGCGAGGTCTGTCGGCACAACCCTTAGTCAAGGTGTGCACGAAACGCAGAGCAGCAGACCTGAAGATTCCTAGAAGAAGGACATTTGAGGTTTTGCCATAGAAGTTGGAGCTCTCAAAGTTTGACTTTTAAAGCAGCACAGGATGGAGAAGACCCTCCCCATCGGCTAGGAACACACACCGCCTCTGATCTATGGGCAACCGTGAAAACTTCCATATTACAACAGAAAACCCTTCTTAGGACTGATTCCACCCTCTCGCCTCCAAAAAAGGAATCTAGTTGAACTCTTTTATTTTCTCTCTGCAAATCCATGAGGAAAGTTCACACGATCCTGCAGAAGGTTTGTTCATAAATATTGTCTGATGGGAGGAATCCTTGCCTCTGAGTAATGCTCACAGGTTCAGTTACTCCGTTACTGATGTGTTGATCTAAAATAGTATTTTTAATTTAGGCTGAGAATTTATTTGACAGAGATAATCTATGAAATATAATACGTAAAATATGGTGGGGATTGGGGTGTGTGTGTGTGTGTGTGTGGAGAGTTGGTGTGTTTTTAAACTCTGCCAGAATGTTACTTTCAGAGTTTCACCTCACAGCGGACAACTAAAGAATGTCCAGGACATCACAGCTCTGTTACAGGACACAAAAAACTCAAATTCTGAATTCCAATCAAGGGAAAGGTATCTAAAAGTATGATATTCCACCTGTTTCAATAAGGGGTCACAATTCCCACGGACAGGAAAGAAGGAAGGGGAAACATTAGGCTGATTTGAATGTGAGGCATTTCCTTCATCGGCCAGGACAGGGGAACAAAAATTAAAAAATGGGATTTGACTTCCAGGGCATCTCCCACCTAAATCTCAGAAGGGCTATAAGGAGGGTTGCCAACAAGCTGGACACAAACATGCCTTGCCCCTTTCACAGGGGCTTGATAGGATGTTATTGGCCAGGTGATGTGATTTACTTCCATGTCATGGAAAGCTTTCCCTGCCCATTTCCATACACGAAGCCTCCACTGAAGCCACACTTCTTCCCCAGGTAGTTGGCAACCCTACATAAAAGTGGGGTGAAACAGGCACAGAACAATATTATATGAAACCCAGGAAAGTCCTTTCCTCAAATGGCACCAGAGTGAGGAAGAGCAGCGATAACTCGCTCACTTGGGAGATTTGGCTGCTACCAGATTGCCAATCTTCAACAATCCTCCCAGCATAAAAGCGAGGAAGCCCAACCTAGAATGTTGCAGAGGTGAGAACTCGGAAGGAAAATGTGGCAAACACAAAAGAACATGGCATCCCTGAATACTAGTCTGGACAAAGCTAACTGTTCTTATGATTTCTGTGTTTGTTTACATAGCCTATTTGGAAGTTAACATTTGCTCCATGGTCTGATGTGAATCCTTATTGCAGTTGCTTTTGGGGTGGGTGGCATGTAGAATACACATAGAAGCAGCTCTGCGACATTTTCCTCTGAGGATATTGTCACCCACACATCACTAACCAATACCCCCAAAGTACAGCCACTGAATACTTATTGTGTACTTACTGTACACAAAAATTCTGGGGTACAAATTTTGAAATATAGTGATTTTGACTTTAAAAACAACAACTCCATCCCATTAAATGTTTGTTTGTTTTTTAAATAAAAAAATCCCATCAGTTCTACCCAGAAAACACTGCTCCAGCAACATACTTTTAAGTGCTCTGGTGAGATAGACCCCATTCTGATAACTGATGACCCTGCCTGATAATCCGGAGAACAGCTGCTCACCACAGAAAGAGACGTTCTTTTGTGGTGGTACAAAGATACCCCAGACCAGCAACAACATTGACAGTTTTTGATGTTGTTGCTGATGCCATTTTTTCCTGCCTGACATGAAAGTGTCTTTTCAGGCTCTGGGGGTTTGGGTAACATAAATCACAATGTCTTCCACCACCACCACCACAAACACATTTTTTTGGTCATGGGACATTTTTCTTCTCCAAAATACACTGGAATTTGGCCTGGAGTAGAAAAAAATATATACCCTAGAACACAGTTAATATAAATCTTTTTCAGAGTGCTGCCTAAGTTAAACACATTTCATACACACACAGTCTGACCAGACAACTGTCCTTTCTTGGTTCAGAGGGTGGGCAGTTCATTCATCACTGAGAACTAGTCTACCAACCATGAGTGCTAGGGGAAAATATATATACAGGGTGGCAGCCACGGGTGGGTGGGGGAGGAGCTGCTGGGCCACGGGCACCCCGTGGCCAGCGACCACGTCTTCCTAGGTTGCCTGGTCCGGGGAACGTCCCAGGAGGGGGAGGGGCTCACGTCCATCCGTGTTTATTTTTAAGTTTTTTGGGGGGGAGTTCCTGAGGTGGAGGGGGTGAGCAGAGAAGTTGAAGACAGGGGTCACATCAGGCAAGCATGTTTCTGAGCTTGGCTTTTTTGGCAGCCGTATGCATATTCGGGCTGCCGTCTGTGACCAGATAGCCAGGGGGGATCTGTTTCCCCACAAACCAGGTCCTCAGGCGGTTTAGAATGGTTGTGGAGACATTCACTGCCGTGTGCTCCACATCCACATCCACGGCTGTGTGCTCCCTGAGTGTGGAGGCGCACCACCTTGTAGCGGGATGGAAGTATGCTCATCCCCGCTTGGGGCGGTGTGGCTCTCTGCCCACCCCGGAACTCTTTCGGTTGCCACCAATGTGCGGTGAAGGAGAGGTAGCCTTGGTGGTGGCTGCTTCAAAGGTCAGCCATTGGGTGGACAGTTCACCCTCGTGCTTTCACCGGACACATCATGGATTGATCCATGGCGGGCAGCACTCGCTGGCTCATGGTCCTCCTGGAAGGAATGGTGTGCCAGGGGGCCATGCATTGCAGAAGCCCCCAGAAGCCCACAACCTCCACCAGAGATGTGCTGAGTGGTCGCCTCATCGTGAGCCCTGGCCCTCATCCTCCTTCCAGGCATTGGGGAGGACCCCGGGAGCATGATCTCTTGAAGGGTGGCTTGCCGGGGAGAACCCATGGGAGGGGGGGCAGAGACCCCGCTGTGGTGGACTGCCCCTCCTGGCCTCCCTCCCCCCGTTGACTTGGGGAGCCCCATGCCCAACGGTAGACTACGGGGGCCCACCCTCCGGTGGTGTCAAACCAGGGTGCAACCTACGCAAGTGCCTCGGTAGAATGCGGGTGGTTAAATGATGCGGGTCCCTCCCCCTACGAACACGTGCCCCACACACTTGGCACACTCCACCACACAAGGATCGCTGGGCGGGCTGCAGCAGACTGCAGCCATGCCCACATGCCCATCAGTGGGGCGCTTTCCAGGCACAACTGTTTCCTGGAGTTAGACCCTGGCCTGATGGGGTGTCAGCAAGCTGCCAATTGTTTCATGCTTTTGAATTGTACATTGTATTCCCCCCCCCCCTATTCCTCGTATGGTACTTTGCTTCATCTGCGCATGTCCCACCTCCTCTCCTGTGTTAATGGTAACTACATTCCTTTCCATGTACGCCAGCAGTGCTTTGCAGCTCCCTTATCTGAAAGCGAGCAGGTGCTTGATGTTTGGAGTCTTTTTGCTTCGGCTAGCCTGATATGTTTTGTGAGAAATGCCTTTTTGTTTTAATTGTCTCAACAGTTACGTTCTCAAGGTTTGAGCGCGAGAAGACTGGTTCTGGCGCGAGCGGGAATGTTGTCTATTGGCTCTTAATTAGTTTGAACTGCTTTATGATATCAGCCTCCAGCCCCTTTCAGTCATTACTGACAGAAATTGTGTTCTATCCGTTTCATGGCTCTAATAAAATAATACCTTCAAGCAAGCGTGTATCTTATTAACGGCTGTGATTGTGACATGGGGGGGGGCATTCCAATGGAAAAGGGGACTCCCCAGGCGCGGAACAGGATGATGTGCTACAGCCATCGTCACCCCCCTCACCACTAGGGACGGTGGTTTGCTCCCTCCCCCTTGGACTGCTCATCCACACAGCCCACCCGGAGCCAAGTGGGAGCTCTTGACCGGTGCCCAAGGCCCAGAGCCCCGTGGCCTCTGCAGGGGACGCTGGCATGGAGGCAACTGACAACGCACTTGGGGAGGAGGGCACCTGTGGGTCGTATCCCACCACCTGTGTTCAGTGTGGCTAGTCTTCCCATCTGCCCCCCCCCATGTCCCCACACATCAGACCCAGGTAGTAGGGGTGGAAGAGGGGTTGTTTGAGGCGTGGGGAAATGCTGCAACGGTGGGTAGTTTGAGAGCTTCATTGGCAGAGGAGAGGGGGGACCCCAAGTCAGAGACTCGACCCACCCAGCAAGAAGGGTTTCTTTCGCTTGGCAGGGGCAGTAAAGGCAAGACCCCCACAGCCAGTGGGCAGAGGAGAGAGGCCATCGCAAGACAGGAACTGAGTCACGGGGACCCCACTTCAGAGACTCTGGCGACCCTGGAAGAAGTGGGGTTGCTTTCGGGAGCAGCAGAAAGGGAAGTCCCGCAGCCAGTGCCAAGGGAACTTAGCAAACCACACCCCTGAAAGTGGTTTGAAAATGGGTCGCCAACTGTCCAGGGCAGGGAGAGAACTCTCAAGTCAGAGACTGAAGCAACCCAAGGAGAAACGGGTTGGGGGGGGCAGAAAGGGAAATCCCACAGCCAGTGCCCAGGGGACTTAGCCGCCGCCACCCCCACCCCCCGGAAAGTGGATTGAAAACTGGGTGCCAACTGGCCATGGCAAGGAGAGAACTCCCATGTCAGAGACTGAAGCAACCCAAGTATAAAGGGTAGGTGGGGGTCCTTTTGTGATGAGCAGTACAGTGAAACCCCACAGCCAAAAGGCAGAGAAAAGAGCTGCTTGCAGAACCCACAAAAGAGGTGGGGTAACTCTGACTTGCCAAGGAAACAGGCCCCAAGTGAAAACAAAGATGCATTGTGAAAGCAAAACAATTCAACCCCAGTTTCCCACCCCTTGGGAAAGAGAGATAAGGGAGGCGACAAAGAGAGATAAGGGAGGCGACAAAGAGAGATAAGGGAGGCGACAAAGAGAGATAAGGGAGGCGACAAAGCATTGTAGCAGCGGAACTCAAAAGGGGGGGGGGAAACGGCGAGCTGGCAGTTTGTATCGTCGCCAGGATATCCAGTAGGTTTCTCCACTGACCCACCCAGTGACCCCAGTAAATTTTTCCACCCACCCCAGGCCCACCAAGAGGTTTTTTTCATGTGCGCATGGAGAACTAGACTTGCAGGAAACCTGATGCAAAACGAAGGACAGTCACGCGCCTCCAAGGAATATATACACACACACTCCCATTCCGAAGGAGAAGGATGGACATCTCTGATTGGAAACTGAAGTTGATTGTCAGCCCCAGATGCTCGATACTGGTCCCTCGACAGCTGGGAAATCCCACCCACACCCGCTTTTCCAAGCAAAACTGCAGGGGTGGGGGTTTCTCTGCGGAAACTACCTGAATGCTAGCTCAGGCGCCCCAGGGGCCAGGCACGTGACCTGCAAGCGGCTCCATCCAAGCCTCGACCCAGGCGAAGTTCGGCCCAGATTTTAGTTCGGCATTCAGGTCTGTGCCCGTCCCTAATAATCTATACCGTTTCCTCTTTGCAATCAAGAAACCCGTCTTGGATTGACAAACCAGAATTTAATTCAGTAACTAGAATTAAATTAAAAAAGCCTTTCCAAGCAGTAATCTTATTGCAAAATAAATGCGCAGCCATTGTCTCTCACGTGGTTATGGCAGATCAAACTATGCCCCCCAGCTAGTGGATCAACTGAAGGGGAACTGTTTCTTTAGTACTGGAACAGCAGTTTTGTTGCTGGGAAAATGCAAGCCCCTCTCTTCCCATCAGCAGCCCAAATAGCCCAGCAACAGCTCAGATTCACCAGAGCTCGGGAGCTAAGCAGGGTCAGCCATGGTTATAGTACTTGGATGGGAGACCACCCAGGAAGCCTGGATTTGCTATGTGAAAGAAGGCAACAGCAAACCATCTCTGCCCCTCTCTTGCCTTGAACACCCCATAGCCTGGGGGTGGTTGAGTTGGGTGAGACTCGACAACACATTCTCCTCCTCCTCCTCCTCCTCCTCCTGCCAGCCCCAGTTGGTTCTCTGTGTGCTGGAGCTGTGAGAGTGTTCCATGAGCACTGTCCAGATAATGCCCACAGCATAACTGGCAGGATTCACAACATTTAGCCGGGGCCAACACAGGAGAGGGTGCTCATGCAGCCTTTAAAAATGGGTAGTAAACCCCCTAGAAAGCATCAGCAAGACTCCTCCCATTCCCACAGAACTACCCAAATACTTTATATTATTTTGGTAGGGTTTTTTTAATTAACCCTCTCCACCCCTAGAATGCACCCTCCCCCCCCCATAGCCCCCCCATTCCACAGAGCAGGGACCCGTGCAGTGGATATTGTGCTACGGGTACAGAATGGCGGATTTTGGAGAGGCCCAAAACATCCTGCATCAAGAGAGTAATTGCACACGTTGCAAACAAGCAGGGGAACACGCAGCTCGCTCCTGCTTTCCAGTTCCAGCCTAGTTCAGATTGGGAACGCTGCAAATATTCTTAGTCTACCTTGTCGATTGGGTCCCGCTGCCCCCCTGCGGTGGGTGGCACGTGGGCGGCGGTGGCAGCGGCGGCTGTGCTGGCTGCTGCATGCGATCCTGGAGGCTCCGTGCTTTTCGGATACAGCTTTGCAGCTTCTGATCGACTAGGGCTCTGTTGTGAGTGCTAGAGCTGACACCATGCATGGCAAGTCTGAGTTTAGCTAAAAAGCAAAAGAAAACATAGCAGAAACAAAAAACAAAACTGGAGGGAGGGGGAGACAGAAAACAAAAAATGCTGCAGGAACGTAAAAAAAATTGAGCATGCAAATGCTGCCACAGAAGAGCTCACAAGGATGCATCCGTCCCCACTAATGTGCATTCAGGTTAGCTGTGTGTCCAAACAGGTTAATTGGAACTGAAACAAAGTGAAGCTGAGCACAAATTTTAATTCTTTTTTTTTAGGCGCAACCCCCCCGTCCCCAACCCTCACGCAACTAGTCATTTCCAATGGTGAGCGCTTATCCCCAAATCAATCTGATCGGGACGTGTCGTCTAAAGACGAAGCCAGTTGGGACACTCGCTAGCAGGAGCCCTCGTGGAGTCTGTGCTTTGCTTCCTGGTTTGCCCTCACCCGGAAGAGCAGACTTCCACAGGCAAGCACCGACACGGCCCCTCCAAGCGGTGAAGCCGTAAGCCCAGAGCTGGTCTGCAGCCTTGCTAACTGGCCGGGAGGGAATGGAGGGTGGGGAGGGGGAGCCAGCCAATCCCGAAGAGCCAGCCAATCAAAATAAAGAAACGCAGCAGCATGTATTCCCCCCCCCGCCACCCCCCAAAGCCAGAGCACACATGTTAAGCGTCTCAGAAAGCTGGTGTCTCCTCTTCTTCTTCCCCCGACACTTCAGTGAGCACGGCATTCACGCCTGTCCTTTTCCTTTGTAGGCCAGCTTCTCTTCCCCTTCCTACATGCTGAACTGTGGGAGCTTTAAACCCTCTGACAGACCCATCTCTGAACTGGGGAAATGGCTCGCAGGGGGCTGGAAGGCAGGAGGAGAAAGGAGCATTTTGTAACAGGCAAAAGAGTTGACAAGAGGCACACGGCCGTCCTTCCTCGTCTGTGGCCATGGGAGGCAGAAGGAGAGCCGGTGAGAGTGGTGCTCGGGAAGAAGAGGCCTCCCCGTGGCGAGACGTGCCGGCCCGTCCAGCGCCACAGCCCCCGGTGGGGGAACGTTAGTAGACTGCACAGGGAGCGCCGGGAGCGGCAGAGCTGCGAAGGGTTACTTACACAGAGCTTCGTTACAGAGAGCCAGGGCCGCAGCACAGTCCCCCTTCTGCTCCTGGCGCCGTGACTCCTCCAGGGCCGCCTCCGCCTCCTGCACAGACCGCTCAGGGCTGCCGGTCCTCCCTGCAAGGGGGCAGCACTCTTCACCTCACTTGGCTTCAGCACACGGCTGTCGCTAGTTCTGCAGCATTTAAAACAGCAGCCCCCCAATCCCAAACCCTGGGGGGGGGGGGAAGAGCGCCTTCAAGTTTCAGTCAACTTCTGGCAACCCTAGAAGCAGCAGAGGTCAGGTAGAGATCTCTGAGCACCAGAGCAGGTGGCTTCTCACGGTTGCAACAGCAAAACCTGGCATGGCCACTGGCATTTGTCCTGGTATTTGACCAGCGACCTCACAAGAGCCCGTGTTTAGCTGAGGTTAAATTAACAGTGAAGGATCACAACTCATTGGTCATTGTGTTGCTAGGATATGGAGTAGTTTTATCCTTCTGGTAACACTATTTCTTGGAGAGGAAAATCCTCAAAATAACTTCTGTGGGAGGCAGGGAAAGAGGATACCCCTCCACCAATAACAAGCCTCACAAACCGCAGCACGGCCGAAGCCCTCCCATGCGTGCACTGTGTGAGCCTCATCACCTCTGGAAGCATTTCCTATTCTCCTCCCTCACACGGCCGAAACGTTATTTCTTCCTTACAGCATTTAGATTCCGGAGCATTGCAAGTCCAGGAGGTCCTTTTTCCTTTTCCTTTTTGAATAACTAACAGAGTCTGGAGTGATACAATCTGCTACAGAAGGTATCTCTTCGGCTGCAAAACTAACAGGGGGCGAAGTGCTTCTAGTCAAACAAGGTGGCCCTTCCTTCCTAGGCCACCCCTGCCTTGGATCAGTCCACTCCAGTCCTACCAGCTGGGCACAAGGAAGGCACCCGGAGTTACCCTGCGTGAGAGTTACCCTGGTTCTGGAGCTCATCCAGGTCCATGAACCTGCTGGGACGGGGATTGAAGCCCATCGCGGCCTCCAGCGCTTTCTCCCGCTTCCGTCGGAGTTCCTGCTCCAAGGCCCTCCGCGACACTTCTTCTTGCAGCTCATCTAGCTCGCTCTTAGAAGAGACAAGCATCTCCCCACCTTTGGGGGGGGGAACATTTCAAAACCACCATATGATTTTTAGTTAGAACTGTTTTTATTTCTAGATCCCACCCCTCACCCCCCAGTCTCAGATCAAGTATCCGACATGGATGTTCAAGAAGCTGCTTGCTGCCATCTGCTCGGTGCCCATCTTTACCATAATCCCATATTCATTCCCCACCACCTTTTACCCTTTAGAAACCGATTTCCACAGCCATAACAGCTACAATCCTGCTCTTAAGAAAAGCCAGGACACCAAAAAACCAGGAGCCTTGTGATACTGACATGAGGAAACCAGGACCAATAACATTTCATTTCCACACAAGCTCTCAAGGACGGCAGCCCACTTCTTCAGACATACTCATGTCACCTGACTGCGGTCACCCCCCAGAGTTGTGCTTCCACGGCACAACGGTGAGCCGCCTTGGAGGCATTTGTGCTAAAAAGCGGCAGGGGTGTGTGTGCGTGTGCAAAGGGCTGTCAAGTAGCAGCCGACTCAGGGCGACCGCAGAGCGTTTCCTAAGGCCGGGAGCTGAAGAGAGGCGGCCTGCCACGGCCTCCCTCAGCGTCTGTGTGTGCTGACTGCCGTAAAGCCGCTTCCAGCTCATGGCGACTGTATGAATTCATGACCCACACACATGTCCCCCTGTTCACGGCCTTGCTCAGATCCTACACAGTGAGGGGGCCTTTGTGGCCTCCTTGTTCGAGCCCACCCACCTCACACGGAGTTTTCCTCCTTTCCTGCCACCTTCCCCTTTCCCTAACATTATTGTCCTTTCATCATGTGACCAAAGTAGGATAGAGCTTCCGTTTGGTCACTTGAGCTTCTCCTGGGCGGGGAGGTCTCCCATCCAAATACTAACCAAGGCCAACCCTGCTTAGCTTCTGAGATCTGACAAGATGGGGCTGGCCCAGGACCACCCATTGGGAGAGAAATATTTTAATAAATACGTAAGTAAATAAAACTGACGAATACACGATGCTCTGAGTCGATTACCAAAAGAATGTCTGGCAGTCCCTTTTCCTACTTTTATGAAAACAGAATAGCCAGAAGATAGAGGAGTTCATACATATAAGTTTGTGGTCCAGGACTGCAAGTCTGAGACAGAAAAGACCTCCTTACCATTGGAGTGCTTGCTCTTTGCCCAGCAACTAGGAGATGAAGCCGACTCTACTTCCAAGATGCTGCTGCTGTGTGATTTAGGGATATTACGCCATGCAGGAACAAAAGCTCCAGGTCGCTTCATATGAGAATCCCTTTTAAAAGGAAGAAAAGGGTTATTCTAACATGAAATCTACACCACCACCACCCCAGTTTGTGTTTGAAGAAGAGGTAGAAATAAGAAAGATCCCTGTCATTTTTCTAGGACTTACTGATGCATGCTGACATATGTAGCTGTCTTTATGTTCTTAATTCTTTATTCATGTTTACAGAATTGGTTTGTGTCCTCACTCTCCCCTTGTGCCTGGTCCTGAGTGCCTTTTGATCTGTCTCTCAGTCCCAGGCTAACCAAGGCGCTTGTTAAAGAATAGCTGTGAACCCTCGTTTTTAACCCTGCCGGTAAAGCAAACTCTGGGTAACATTAACTGTGGTTACAAGCCTATGGTCAAGGCCGGTAGGGGAATCTGTGCCTGCAGTCCCATAGGTCTTAAGAGGCTGGCAGGGGAATGGACAACCTTAGGAGTTGGACCCTGTGAATCTGGTTCACTAGCAGCAGAATCTTCCTCCAGGGCAAAAGGGGCACTTCCATGATGCTCCAGGGCAAAAGGCTCCTTGTGCTGGAGGGAGGAAGGAAGGCTCTGCTCCTGCTGGGTTTTGTTCACTGGATCCACAACCATTTGCCTGCTCTGACCCTGAGTCTAGTGCCTCAAAGGACTTCTCTAGTCTATGGCAAAAATGCAGTGCGCTCATAGTTCACGGGGTAACAATCCCATGCATTTATCAACACTAATGCTAGCCCATGTATGCAGACATGAAGTGCACAGTTACAAGCGCCTTCTATCAGCTGCATCTAGTTCAACAACTCTCTTCTTTCTTAGACTCAGCCAATCTGGCCACAATGATCAGTTGGATTACTCTAACAAGCTCTGCGTTGGTCTTCCCTTGAAGAAACTCAGAACTTGCAGCTGGCCCAGAAAGCTGCAGCCCAACTGCTGCCAGGGGCCAGCCAGAGAAGCACGCGCTGCCCGTTCTGATACGATCGTACTGGCTGCCAGTTGGCATCCGAGTTCAGTTCAAGGTGTGCCGCCTATGACCTTTGCAGCCCTTCGCAGCCTCTGGAGGACTGTTCCTCCTCCCCACGTGTTCCTGTCCACCTCCCGGGAGGCCCCTCTTCACGCCGAGCAGGCTGCCTGGCATCAGCCAGCACCCCGGCCTTTTCTGCTGCCGCTGCAGCTCCCACTCTGCGGGAGGGGCTTCCCGAGGGAGTTCCTGGGGGAGGCCGCCTTGTAGGAGAGCTCTCGGAGGTGAGGCCAGGCCTGTTTCTTTTCCGGGGCTTTTGATGAGCTGAGCAGCATCTTTTGGGGGTTTGTTATTTTATTTTGGTTTTCACTAGTATTATTTTAATTATTACTATAAGCCACTTTGAGCCAAGTAGAAAGGTGGCATAAAATATTTTAATTAATAAATAAAAGAAGAAGAGATTGGATTTATACCCCCCCCTTCACTACCCAAGGGAAGTCTCAGAGCGGCTGACAAACCTCCTTTCCCTCCCCCTCTCCACAACAGACACCCTGTGAGGCAGGTGGGGCTGAGAGAGCTCTGACACAAACTGCTCTTTTCCAAGAACAGCTCTTGCCAGAACTACAGCTTGCACAGGGTCATCCAGCGGGTGCAAGTGGAGGAGGAGTGGGGAATCGAACCCGGTTCTCCCAGATTAGAGTCTGCGCACTTAACCAGGACACCAAACTGGCTCTGGAAAACTAACTCTTGAAAACTAAAAACTGCTGGATCCAGGTGGGGGCAGCCGTGTTTGTCTGAAGCAACAGAACAAAGTTAGAGTCCAGTGGGGCACCTTTAAGACCAACAAAGTTTTATTCAAAGTGTGAGCTTCCGTGTGCGTCTGAGGACGTCCGTGTGCGTCTGAGGACGTCCGCATGCACACGAAAGCTCGCACCTTGAATAAAACTGTGTTGGTCTTAAAGGTTCCCCGCTGGACTCTAACTTTTTTCTAAAAACTGCTGGGTCACTTTTGCAAGCAAGTGGTGTCTGCTTTATAGAGAGGTGCAGAGGCTGAGTATCAAGAGCCAGCCGCCTGAGCATGCAGCCTGGGGACCAGGACTTCAGCCGCAAGAATGAAACCTGATTGTGCCACACCTCTTGCTCAAGAGGTGCTGCTCATTTGCAAGGTAGGCAGGCATTAGGAACTAGAACGTGAAGAAACATCATGATGAGGGGTCATTTCGTAGAAAAAGAGCTGCAAGAGCTCATTAGCATGCCTAATAAGCTATTAGCATAATAGCTCATTAGCATATGCCACGCCCCCTGACAACACCGGAAGTGATGTCAGAAGGAGAAGCAAAAGGGGGAGAGGCATCTTCAAAAGCCCCCCTTCCCTTCCCCAGCTGAGAAGTGGTTTAAACTTTAAACCCCTTCTCTCTGGAGTTCTGCCGCAGCAGCAGCAGCGCGATCTCGCCATTCTGTTGTGGCCCCATAGAATAGAATGGCGAGATCGCACCACTTTTGCAGCGCGACTCCAGAGAGAAGGGGGTCATCGAATACAATGAAGAGATCGCGCTGCTGCTGTGGCACAATTCTAGACTGAAGGAGCTTGGGGGCAGGGGCGGGGAGCTGGGGGAGGGGCTTGCCGCCAACGGGGCTGCCGGAGCAGTGCTCCAGCGCGCTCCGGCCCCAAACGACCCCTGATGATGACTAAAACCTTCACCAGATCCTTCAGTATTGGCTTTAGTTACAAGTTAGAAAATGATGAGATTTCTATACTTTCTTCAATGCCAGTTAACAACTGTAACCCTCTTGGCAGGCATAGGTCCTCCTGGCACATGGAGACTATGGATCTGGACTGGTACCTGCATCCCCTTGCTGCTCAGGAGAATCCAAATATTCACCCCATTAGAACAGTGTAGAGTGCAAAACCAGGGGCTTAAAACTTTGAGGTTTGGCTTATTTATCTATGGTACTGCTTTTCTGTTTTATCTGCAGTATTGAGGTTCTGTACACTGTTCATATGTTGGCTTCTTAATAGTACTACACACACAGAAGTCAAGTTTCACACACTGGGCAAAAAGAGAACCACACTGTTCAACAGAGAAGAAAAACAGGTTGCTTACCTGTGACTGATGATCTTCGAGTGGCCATCTGTGCATTCACACCCTTGGGGCTCCAGGTGCCTGAGCCAACCCCAAGTGGTGACTTCTAAGCTCCAAAAAGTTTCTTTCGCGCCCCCTTCCCTGCGCATGCCCAGGAACTCCACCATGCATGCTCAGGATGGGGCGCAGAGATCCTGCCAGTTCCTTCTGACTGCTGTCCAACCCACACAAGTCTGTAGGCTGCCAGAGGACGGGAAGGTCAGGTGGGTGGTGTGAATGCACAGATGACCACTCGAAGATCATCAGTTACAGGTAAGCAACTTGTTTATCTTCTTCGTGGTCTCTGTGCATCACACCCTTGGGAGAGTAGCAAGCTCTGACCTACCTGATGGCGGGTGACGGCAGCTATTCAGTCGCACATCGATTGAAGAACAGCTTGTCCCACCGCGACAAAGCTCCTGGCTCGAACAGCTAAGACATAGTGCTTGACAAACATGGTAGGCATCATCCAAGTCGCAGCTCTGCAGATCTCCTGCAAGGGGGTACCCCTGAGGAAGGCCGTGGATATGGCCAATGCCCTTGTGGAATGTGTCCTGACCGGGCCTGGAAACGGATGTTTAGCCAGGAGTTAATCATCTCCACTATCCACTTTGACAACCGTTGAGCCGAGATCCCGAGCCCCATTTTATGTTTTGCATAGGAAATGAAAACACAATGATGCTGTGAAGCCAAAGATAAGCTGCCAGTACTACCATCATTTTTGTAAACACCCTCGGGGCTGTGGAAATCCCAAAAGGGAGGGCAGTATACTGGTAGTGGGCTTGTTCTATTGCGAAGCATAGGTATTGTCTGTGCTCTACTCTGATGCTGATGTGAAAGTACGCATCTTGGAGATCGATTGTGGCCACCCAAACCCCCTCCTGCAATAATGGATGTATCTGGGAAAGAGTTGTCATTTGAAACTTGTGGTAGATGATGAACCGGTTGAGGGAGCGCAGGTCCATAATTGTGTGAAGTCCACCATCTTTCTTGGGTACTGTAAAGTAGAGGGAGTATAATCAACATCCCCGTGAATCTGGAGCACTGGTTCTATGGCCCTCTTGAGAAGGAGGGATTGTACTTCGTTGAGTAGGGTCATTGATGGAGGAGGGGCAACAGCTTCCAAGAGGGGAAGAAGATGAATGAATTCTATGGCCTACCCTCAGGAGATGACAGACAGCACCCAGTTGTCTGTCATTATACGTCTCCAGGCTGTGAGATGTTGATGGAGACAAATGTCGGTGGGGTGGGTGGAAGGAGGTGAGGTGAGGACATTGAAAATGGCTGAGTCAAAAGGTCTGCTTGGGGGTCTGCGGAGTCTTGGGCATGGTGGACTGCTGTAGTGCTTGGGATTTGGAGTTGTAGGGCGCCCTGCTTCCTGGCTGTTGGTGCCGCAGCCTCCAGGACTGACCGGGGGACAGTCTGTTGGATGGGCAACAGGTCCACGATTTGTTTGTTTGTTTGTTCGTTTAATTTATATCCTGCCCTCCCTGCCAAGGCAGGCTCAGGATGGCTTACACAAGATATGTTAAAACAGCTAAAACACAGCATTTAAATAAAACTACCACAGTATAGACTAAAACATACCATAAAGTGCTACTACATTCCATAATCTCAGCATCCAAGTAATCAACTACTGCCATAGTCTGGGTTTTTTTCAGGCTGTTGATGATTAAGTTGGTGTTGATATTGGGGCCAGGGCCTCATTATTGGAAGGGGGACACCCTAATCGAAGGCCTAGTGGAAGAGCTCCGTTTTAGAAGAAGAAGAGAAGAGATTGGATTTATACCCCGCCCTTCACTTGGAGTCTCAGAGCGGCTTACAAACTCCTTTCCCCTCCCCTCCCCACAAAAGACACCCTGTGAGGTGGGTGGGGCTGAGAGAGCTCTTGACAGAAACTGCTCTTTTTCAAGGACAGCTGTGCCAGAGCTTGTGACTGACCCAAGGTCACA